TTCCTTTCAAAACTGGATTGCTTGCCAAATAGTTCAGATGACTTCTTCCAAGAATGGCTATCTGATCTGCTTGAAGGAATAAAAATGTCAGTGCTAAAAGGGTAAGAAAAAGCTGACTCAGAAACTGCTTACTACTGCATCTGATGGCATACACTAGGGATAGGGAACCTGTGGCCCTCCAATTGTTGCAAGACTCCAACTCCCATCAGCCCCAGCTAGTACAGTATGATCAATGGCCAGGAATGATGGGAGTTGGAGTCCAACAAGATTTCAAGGGAGCAGATTCCTTATCCCTGGTCTTTATTTGGAAACTGATCCAGCAGCCTGGAAAGCATGTTGCCTTTTTGTGACCTAAATGTTACGGTAAGGTTGCAAAAGCTATTATGTGTACACCATACCAGGCCTTGTTTTTTTTATCTCCTAGGAATGCAAGTGACTCCCTGGGCTGCATTGTACTGGACACACCCAGTGAACATGAGTATCACTATGTTTCACTCTTCCATCTTGACTTCCCCTCTCCCTGCTGCTAATGTCTGACCTTCTCTTTGTGAATTTAAAATGCTAGACGTGAACAGCACAGAATAGTTGTTTTTCTAGCTCCAACTTTGATCACGAGAGCAATAGCTAGGACCTATCTTGGTCACTCCCCTCATTCCATGTTGCATGATTTTGATGAATGATCCCAAATATTGCTTTCTTTCACCTTCTGTTGCTGCATCCCGACCGGGCCATCCCACTTTTCCATTTGACTTCCTGGAATAATTATATCAATTTTGTTGCACACACCCCAATCTCTGAGTGGTGAGAAGCTTTGGGAGTTCCTGCAGCTATGAAAGGCCCGATTTCCTTGGCATGAAGGTCAATGGAGATTGTGGTGCCTTTAGGATATATGTTTTATTTATCCATATATGCAAACTGAACATAGCATGGAAGGGCTCACAACATTAATGTCCCAACAGATCTTGCCTCCCCCATTACCGGGAGATCTCCAAGCGATAGTTTTGGTTCCAGCACAGAGCAAAACAAGCCTCCGTCTCTTCAGTTTCTAGCATCAGCAAAAATTCACTCCCATAGGCCTCCTTGGCCTAATGCTCTCCATCCTAGGATGAAGTGGCATTCACTCAGGTGAGCTGTTAAAAGACCCACCTGTTTGTCTATATAGCAAGAAGGCAACCTTTTTGGACATGTAAATGGCAGTACTTAATGGGCCAGCTATGGTCATTATAAAGAGATTGGTCTGACTGGTTCCATAGTTTCTTCTACTAGATTCTCTAAACATCACTGGATACAGAATAACAGGGCTGGAAGGACCACACCAATATCATACACCCCATACCTATAACAATATTATCATAAACTACAAATGATCCGCTTTTTGACTTTGTCTTATCATTGATTCTGAATTGGACTTGACTACACACATTTCTTCTCCAGGGGATCCTGCCAAACAAAGGAGCATTCTCAGTCATGACATCCATACAAACTTCAGTCTGGTGCATTTTGGATCATTTCATGGAACGGAACATTTCGTTTCCATAGTGGACATTTAGTGTATTCTCTAGATATAACCAAATGAAGGAGGATAAATCTGCTTCAAGTTGTGATCATTTTCACTGAAAATATTTGTAACGTTCTCTTTTCATGCAAAATGAAAAAAACAAAATCACTCAAAACTCAGCAGACGTTGTAGTAGATATAACTTCAGTTTAAATATGGAATATGAAAGACATGCATATCTCCCTCTAGTGTGGAAGAAGCTAACAATTCTATAACTTTATATAGGCCAGACATATCTGTTTAAGATAATGATGTCATTAAAGGCTTCATTTAAAAAAAATGAGTCGCAGGAAATGCACAATTGTGTTTTAAAAAATGAGATTTTTTTTTGGTAAAATGCGAATTATTATTTTTTTTTTGAAAAAAACCCCCACAAAGCTCTTTGTATGGTGTCCCCAAATCACCAACCTCCATTTTATCACCTTCGAAATAATATGTGGGACTGACTTAGTGTGTGAACTGAGCGTAACGGAAATATTTTTGATTGCCATAGCAACAAAATATCTTGGTGGGGAAGAGAGCACTCGGCTGAACACATGTAAAGCAACAAGGTTACACAGACTTTAGGCCTCCAGCATCCGATCCTACCGATACAAAATATGAAGAACTGATTGTTTTCTACAGATGGGTCAATAAAGCTGAAACACTTGTGCTGCTGACATATTACTTTGTTGCTCTTTGCCATGGGCACAGGTACTATCAAGTAAAGTGAATGACTTACTACCAGGAAAAGGGTTTGTTAAAAATTTAGAACTTCTGGGTCAAAAACACTCCATGTGCATGTTCTCAAGTTATATCACCTGTGCCATTTTCCCTTTAAAAAAATGGAAAAAGAGATGAATGAGGCCAGGGGGGCTCTAATAATTTGTATAGGGAAAAGGTTCCAATTCTATAAAGTGCCCTTAAAATGGCTTTTAAAACATCCCTTAAAATGTATAACAGATATGGACATGTACCCTGGGATACGTATACTAGATCCCAGGGACATATTCTGCAAGAGGGGTCATTGCTCTGTGGTACACAGATGCAAGCAGTTTTTTTTTATTGCTACTTTGTTCACAGTTTTATTTCACCCAGTTGCGTATGAGACACTTGATGTCAGACTGGATCTGCAATCTTCATTGCCTTATTTCAGTAAATTTTGATACACAGGCTGAGGATTTGACTGCCAATCATTTTATGACAAGCACTTGTGCATCTGAAATATCTGTTAAATGCTATATTCCAGAATTCACCATTAATTAATATTAGAAATAATAAAAGATTGACAATTGTACTTTACTGGCAAACAGAAATTGACCTCTCTGGATGATATACTAGAAACTAAGGATAGCAACCCAAGGTTTCGGTGGGTCTGACAAATCAATAGGTTAAATTCACTGTTTTACCAGTTCATATCACTGCTAAGTTCATATCATCATTCAAGACCTAGTCTCTTTCAAAATATTTTTTTTTAAAAAAGCATATATCCTCTCTGTGAGGCTGAGCTCTCATAGGACCATCCCACATCATGGACCAGATTCTTAGCCCACTAAGAGGATGTGAGAATTGCATGTTTTATGGCAGCTCCAAATCCCACAGCTCAATGTCCCCAGTATCCGTGAAAATGAACCCTATGCGCATTCAGTGGAATTTGCAAGCATCTAGGGAAGAGGTGGGACGCGGGTGGCGCTGTGGGTAAAAGCCTCCGCGCCTAGGGCTTGCCGATCGAAAGGTCGGCGGTTCGAATCCCCGCGGCGGGGTGCGCTCCCGTTGTTCAGTCCCAGCGCCTGCCAACCTAGCAGTTCGAAAGCACTCCTGGGTGCAAGTAGATAAATAGGGACCGCTTACTAGCGGGAAGGTAAATGGCGTTTCCGTGTGCGGCTCTGGCTCGCCAGAGCAGCGATGTCACGCTGGCCACGTGACCCGGAAGTGTCTCCGGACAGCGCTGGCTCCCGGCCTCTAGAGTGAGATGGGCGCACAACCCCAGAGTCTGTCAAGACTGGCCCGTACGGGCAGGGGTATCTTTACCTTTACCTTTTTAGGGAAGAGGTAAGGGACATGGGTTGTGCTGTGGGTTAAACTACAGAGCCTAGGACTTGCCGATCAGAAGGTCAGCGGTTTGAATCCCCGCGACGGGGTGAGCTCCCGTTGCTCGGTCCCTGCTCCTGCCAACCTAGCAGTTCGAAAGCACGCCAAAGTGCAAGTAGATAAAAAGTAGATACCTTCCAACGGGAAGGTAAACGGCGTTTCCGTGTGCTGCTCTGGCTCGCCAGAAGCGGCTTAGTCATGCTGGCCACATGACCCCGAAGCTGTACACCAGCTCCCTCGGCCAATAAAGCAAGATGAGCGCCACAACCCCAGAGCCGGCCACGACTGGACCTAATGGTCAGGGGTCCCTTTGCCTTTATCTTTAGGGAAGAGGGTGGCCAGGGGAAGTCAGCAGATATAAGAACAATTCGTAAGCAGTGTGGAAAAGTGTGCCTGTTCCTTGTATCGTCACATTCCAATGAAACCAAACGGAACAGCCTCACTTTACAATATGCAGCTCCTCAAGACACTCCTTATTCCATCCAGGTAACCATCAGGGAGCAGGAGGTGAACCAATGAATCATCCCAGTCCAACCCTCATATGCAAAGTAGGATATCATGTATTCAAAGCATCCGTCCAGCCTTCCCTTGCAAACTTCCAAGAAAGGCAGTTCTACAACCTTAAGGCAGCCCCCCCCCATTGCTACACAGTGAAAGATTTAACCCTTTGCTTCTGCTCCAAAGCTGTGTGAATCATTGTTTTCTTTACAACGGTCACCCTTGTTTCCTACCTAAAACCCTGTTAACACGTCCCCATTCCCTGCCTGCAGCAACCTGAACGTTTACTGAGAAATAAAGTCAAGGGGAGTTTAACGTCGTTGAGCGCAACCCCCGCCTTTTGTCTCGGCTAAGATCAAGGCAACTCACGCCCTTTCATCTTCCCCTCTTCGCTTCTTTAAGAGATGATTCCACCACCTTCCTAACTCCCTCGTCCCTTAGTCCTGACAACGTTGTCGTCCTCAAACTCTGCTTCCCGAAATCCAAAACAGGGATGTTGTTGTTGGAATATTTATACATATTATTGGGGGGCGGAGTGTTAAGAGACCTTACCTGCCGTGCTTGTGTGACAAAAAGAGAAGAGCCTAAACAAAGGTGTGACTTTGCGACTCAATCAGAAGACGATTCCATTTTTTTTTACACGCAAAAAAAAAAAAAAAAAGGAAAAGGAAAAGGAAAAAAGCGGACATCTCTTAACTCCCATTGTGTGGACAGAAGCACAAAGGCGTCTCACTCTGGGGAGTGGGTGTTTCTTCCAAACCCCCTCCCCCCTTCAGCGGCCCATTTCCTTTGCGATCCCATTCATTCCTCCACCCAGCCCTACAAGGAACCTCCTCCCTGCCTCTCCCCACCAAACCCCGTCCAGGGCTGGCCTTGGCCGGAGCCGAGGCGGCAGATATCCACGCAGGCGCCGGCGGACCCCTCCTCCCCTCCTTTCCCCCCGGAGGAGCCTGGGGAGGGCGGTCCCCTCTCAGGTCCGCGCGAGGAAGAAGAGGAGGAGGAGGAGGAGGTGGAAGGAGAGGAGGAGTTATGTAGATAACGGATGAACGTTTCTGGAGTGGCGGGGCGAGCCGAGAGGCATAAGCGCAGCCGGGGAAGCGGAGCACGGGCGGCCAGGCAGCCGAGGAGGCCTTGGCGAGCCGGAGGAGGGGCCGCAGCCCGAGGGAGGCGGAGGCGGAGGCAGGCGGTTGCTGTGCAAACGAGGCGCCTCGCCGGAGCCGCAGCTGCACTTGGACGCCGCGTTCCCTCCCGGACGGGACGAGCGAGGAGGAGGAGGATGTGGAAGAGCTGACCGAGCTCGATGCCGCCGCGCCGCGTCCTGGACTGAAGGGTCTCCTCTCCCCTCCTCCTCCTCCTCCTCCTCCTGCTGCCTCTGGAGGTGAACCTGCGTCGAGCTGTTCCTCCTCGACAGCGCGGGGGGACTCTCTCCCCCTCCCCTCTTCTCCCCTTTGAGAGAGAGAGAAACCCACCCGAGTGTGCGTGTTCTGTTTTTGTTTTGGCTGTTGGGAAGGGGAGAGAGAGAGAAGAGGGAGAAGGAGGTGGAGAAGGAGGAGGAAGGCAGCGAAGGCAAGGAGCGCGCGCTCTCTCTCTCTCCCGCTCGCCCGCCGTCTCTGCCTTCTCCATTGAAGCACAGTTCACTATGATCTTACTCGCCTTCAGCACTGCAAGCCGGGGGGATTTCGTGCATCATTCCAGGGTGTTTTTCTTGCAAGCCTTGCTTTGGATTTTATGGGCTACTGGGTGCAGAGCGGAGCAGTATTTCAATGTAGAGGTAAGATCTATCACATCTACGTGTGTGTGTGTGTGTATGTGCGTGTGTGTTTCCTTTCTTTTCTGGGTTGCTTCTTGCATTGATTCAACGTGCAGAAATAAATAAATAAATAAAATAAAAAATAATAGGGTGTAGGAGAAATCCCATACCTCCCCAGCAGTCGCTTCTGCGAGCGCAACCAGGACGCTTTTCCTTCCTGCAGCCAACAGAGTTTCCCGTTTCTGGTGAGCCGCCTCTTGGTCTCAGGATCCCTTGTTGCCCAGGACGGCGAAAAGCCACGATGCTGGACTCCGGGGGATTCACCATTGTGCCCTGGCAGTACTCTCCCTCCCCTACTTTAAAAAGAGATCGGGGTGGTGGTGAAGTGGACCTCTCCAAAACGCGCATGCATCCGTACGTGACGGGTGGTAGGTTAAAAGTAGCCACCGGACATTAAGACGCAAGAACAGTCTGAATGGGAGTTTAAGTTGGGGAGGGGGCATGAATTTATATTGCTAAGATCAGGGCGTTGTTGTTTAAATGAAGGTGGAGAGGGGAAAGACATTCATTGAACAGGACAAGGTTTCTTTTGTCACTTTGAAACATTCCTGTGGACTTTTGCTCCAGGGGCTGCTGTAATGGCTAAACGGATGTCCCCTCAGGCGGTGAAGGGAGGCGGGCGTTGTTAAGAGGTGGAGAGGAACTTTGTGAAGTTGGTTAAAATGTGAGAAGGTGAACAGCATCTGGATAGGATCTGCTCTGGGTTCACGGCTAGACTTCAGCTGGGATCCACACCCTACTACTCCCCCAGTTTTTAGCCTCAGCCCAATGTATAGACACTGGATCTGGCTTTTGCAGCACAAACCTTGTACATGTCTACTCAGCAGTAATGCCTATTGAGTTCGGTGGGGCTTGCCTGCACTTAACGTGTGTACAGAGTCACAGCCTAAGTGTGGTTGGTGTGCTGCAATTTCTCCGCTTTTGTCCTTTTCTCATATGCTTCGCACAATAATGTCTGTCCATCTGTCTGTCAAATCAGTCCCAGTTTGTCCCTTATGTTATCATCCTTATACATGGCCTCCTTTCATCTTGCTCACCACTGCTGCTGGTTCAGGAGTTGAAAGAGACCACACAAACCATAACAACTCTCATTCCTGTATCAGACTTGATCCGTCTTACTGATTACACACCTGCAGCTCAATCCTTTGCTAACCCCAGTGCTTCTTCAGACCCAAAGTGTCTCTTACTCGTGCACATTTGAAATTTTCTTCCACACAAACTCCTGTTCTTCTGGCTCTCAGGATCTCAAGCCTTTCTCTGGATGTGTCCCCCCCTTTTTTTAGCCATAAGAGGAGACTCTCTTTAGTCTGACCATACAAGACTCACATTTTCTGTGTATGTCAATAATATAATTTGTCTTTCTCTTCTAAGGATACTTGTCTATGACTGAACTTCCCAAACCTGGTCACATTCATCTATTATTTCAGGGCTATCCTGGCTATTCTGTCTTGGCTATATTTTATTTTGGCTTCCTCCCACAACCCTGTATTGCCAGCTCTTTCCCCCAATGTAGGGGGAATCATAGGGCTAGGCTGAAAGGTGTGAGCAATGCCTGACACCCTTTGGCCTAATTCTGGTTATGGCTGTTGGAGCTGACTGTGGCGGGAGTGCCACTTAGCCAAACTCATTCTGCTCTCGAGAACATCCTTTATTCCCCTTTTTACGCTCATTCTTCCAATGAGAAGTGGAGGAGACTGCCAAGGGGAAGGGGGGAAAGCCACCCAATAGCATCACGCCTAGATAGTGCCACATGCAGGGAGTCAGGTAGGCTTTTCCAGCTCCAGAAGCTTTTCCTCTTGCCACAGCTAGTTGCTGTGCCAGCTGCCTACTCTGCAGGACGCAGGCCAGCAGCAGATGGTGCTAGGACATGAGGAGTGAAAGGATAGTTTAGGGAATCTAGGAAGACACCAGTAAGTAGCAAGGGGGAGAAACTAAACTTACATGGAGCAGTGAAGTACGGAGGGAAAACTATGAATGAAGAAAAGTTGGAGAAGTGGGTTTAGTGTTTTCCTGCTTCCTGATACAAAGTTTCATAGTCGTGCTTCAGAGCCAGTGTATAATTGGAAGGTCATGTGTAAAAGTGTGAAATTCAATATCTATATCTATCTGTCTGTCTGTCTGTCGGTCTATCTATCTATCTATCTATCTATATCTAAACATACTGTATATAAAATTGTCCAGTAGCACCTTAGAGACCAACTAATTTTGTTCTAGGTATAAGCTTTTGCGTGCATGCACGTTTCTTCAGATGCACACGAAAGCTTATACCTAGAACAAACTTAGTTGTTCTCTAAGGTGCTACTGGACAATACACACACACACACACACACACATATAGACTGCGTCAGACCAACACAGCTACCCACCTGTATCTGTGAAATTCAAGAGTTTGGTTTTGTTGAACAAAGAACCCTCTCCTTTGTTTTTTCTTTTTGCCTCTGGCCACCTGAAAAAGAGAGTTGTGGAGAGAGTGTGTATTTAGTTCTTACTTCTGGCTCTGCCTTCAGTTAGCAGCCATGCCCTCCTAGTAGACATTAGCCACCACTGCTCTGTTCTGTAGGCCATTTCGAAAGCTAAAGTGGAATAATCCAGGCATAGAAGGATCTTTGCCATTCCTGGAGGCTAGCACACTTGGTTTGTCTGGGGAGCAGGTGGCTGGGATTTCTCTGGTCCTGGAATAAATCTCTTGAGAGCAAAGCGCGGTGTCCTGCCTTATCGTCTTCTGCCTCCTTGAGATCAGCATGGTCTCTGCTACCAGGCTGAAGGGAAATTAATTTACATTTATCTCTGAGTAAGGCTGAGAGCTTTTCAAGTGCCATTTGTTGTTGTAAAAAAAAGAACCCGGAGTAGCCGGAGCCACAATGCAGAGGGAATGTGAGGCTAAGGACTTGGCAGCGTTTGGGTGACTCTGTGCCATGGATTTCTCTGTGTCAGCACCAGACCCATAAAACACTTGCACAGGACAATAAATCACGGAGAACCCATCCCTACTTGAGCACAGCAAATTCTGTTCCAGGAGCAATTTAAGCAAACATAGAAGTGAGGGGGCTGCTGTAGACCAGAGTCCATTGTAATGGATTGGTGGAGGCTAAGCTCACATGCTTGGTAGCATAGGAAATGGAATTTAATTTCACTAGGGCCACTTCAACATGGATCTGTGTTATTTATATTGTTGTTTGGCCATTCTTATAGCATTAAAACAAATACCGAAAGGAGGGCATGTGCGCATACACTCACCACCTGTTGCACATATAGACATGGTTTATGGTGAATATCTGTTTTTGTAAACACTGGATTCTATCCAGCTAAGTTTTAATCAGAGTAGACCAATTGAAGGTAGTTTCTGCATGTGGTGTAGTGGGAAGCGAGGGGCAGATGGGGCTCTTCAACCTGGGAAGATAGCCCATCTAGGAGAAGGAAAACTTTGCTCCCAAACCTCCATTGCCGTGTGGGATATCTTCAGGAGATGAAAATACTAAGAGAGTAAACCCTACAGAATGGAGTCCCTCAGACAGTTGGATGGCTACTTGTGCTCCTCCTTCAGGCAACTCCCGCAGCCATCTGGTGCCAAACATATGGCTGTGCTTCCCTTTGGACCACATCAGTGAGGCTGAGAGGGGGTCCTGTCATCTGGGCAGCCCAGGACCTCCATACACACTGCCCAGGCTTATGCCCCAGGGAGGTCATTTAGGTGTTGTTAACACAGCAATTTGACTTCACCCCCGGAGGCGCACCCCATTGTCTCTTGAGGCAGATGAATGCCAACAAGACTGATTGAAGTTAATGATTGAAATCATGGTGATTATTTTCAATGGGTCTACTCTGAGTAGAACTAACATTGGCTATAACCCTTAGGCTGCAGTTCTATACTTACATTGGATTAAGCACTATTGAACTCAGTGTGCCTTACCTTTGAGTAGGCGAGTATAACATGACACAATTGCTTGGTTTTAGCAGGAGGCTTCCAAACATGTACTCTCCATACGTAATCTGGAAATGGCTGGTTCTTCTGGTTTCCATCTCGTATTTTAGTGATATTTTTCTAGAATTACTGGAGCTCAGATTACTATGTGTATGTATATATGCCTTTCTTTGTATGTCTTGGAGTTGCAGACTCAAATTCTGTTAGGTGAGAGCTCTTAGAATGTCAGTATTCAGTAGCATCAAATAATTGTTGACACTGTTAAGGGGGTAGTCCTTAACAGATGTGGTTGTGACCAGGGGCATGGGAAGGAGGTGCAGGGTGTGTGGTCTGCCCTGGGTGTCATCCCTGAGGGAGTGACAAAATGGCACACCGTGGGGGGCGGCACTTACCATGGGGTCTGGCCTGCAGCGTGCCCGAGCCACACATCTCTCCTGGGAGTGGCACGGTGGCTCAGGGCCACACGATGCCCAAAATGGCAGTGGGGCAGTGGGGCTTGCGTCCGCCAGGCGGACTCCATGGGCAGCTCACCGCGGCACCCTCATGGGCGGATCACGACTGTGCCCCCATGGGCAGTTTCGTCCCACCCCTGCCGCTTTGGGTGCCGGAGCAGCTAGGTACGCCCCTGGTTGTGACACATACTTGTGTATTGTTAGTCACATAAAAAGGCTATGCAATAGACAATGTGAAATCCTGTTCAGTAAAGCGATAAACACTGGCAGTTCAGAACTTGGTATACAGACTTGGCAGTCTTGGCCTTGACCGCAATTTATCATTTTAAATGATAAACTAATTAATCTGCATGTTATGTAGGGCTGTGCCATGGATTTAAGAGCCTTAGATTCATCTGTTCATTTGATTGTGTGCAGAAGTCTGCTGTCTCTGAAATGAATGAGGATTTGGTTTGGGTGCACACAACAATATGTGTGAAAGCAGACTATTGAACTGGGGGCATCATGCTTATTTGTTACTCTTGAATACTCTGTGTCCTGATTTGGTTGGTTGAATGGATGGTTAACGCCATTGCAAAGAGTCAAGT